TTGCCCTTGCCATGAAAAGTCACTTTTCCTCAGACGCAGTGTTTGGATTCTGCCTGGGATTCCCGTTTGCCGGGGTCTGCCGCTGTCACTTCCAGGAATGAGCCTCACCTTAGGTAAACCCATTCATGAATATCCAGACATATCCAAACAGACAAATTTAATAGGTAAACCTTTTCTTTCCCTCAAGTTATGTTCAAAAGGATTCACACACATAAATTCCTTTCAGTAACAATCTCTACTAAGTCTAAATTTTTTTTTTCACAGTGAATCAAAGTATACCCACAAGGTACAAAAACTATGGGATGCAACATGCTTCAGGGCCAGCACAGAAGCCATTTCCTTGAACACACCTGAAGACTACCAGCTGCCATTTAAGGGCCTCTGCCAACCACCACTGCTCCTCCACAATGAGTAGTCAGGAGTCTGAAACCAGATTACCCCGTTTATTAGCTAGGCAGCCCTGGGCGAGTTACATGACCTCTCTCTGTCTCAATTTCCTTATCTTTAAAATGGGCATAAACTAAGGTTATTTTAAAACAGGGTTGTTGTGAAATATCATGACACAAAGTCTGTAACCCCTAACTGCATAATACTTGTTAACCTGGATTATAATTACCTCTCCTTTTGGGTCCACATTGCCTCAAACTAACACTAATAAATGCTTGATGAGTGGGCAAGGTTCTGTGCTTGGTCACTTAAAATCTTGTTAGAATTAATGAAGATAAAACATTAGAGCAAAGACCTCTTTGGGTCCTCTTTACTTAATGTAATTATATAACTTTTCTAGAGAAACAGGCCTATAGAGAGCATGCAAGAACAACATAGCAGAAGCCTCATCACATGAGTGACATGCCTTTGTCTGGGCAGCAGCTTGGTCATGTGTGTTTGCTCAATGAGTTCTCCTCACTCCAGTGAATCACCAGCCCAGAGTACATGGTCAGTAAACATATGTGCAAACTGTTGAATCAAGAAAGGATGAGGCAGAGAAAAGGAAGAAGTCAGGCTCAAAAGGTTTCCTATAGCTTTTGTTGTTGTTTCTTGTCTGTTTCTCTTTTAGATCTAAAATGCTCAGTCTTTTATGGACTCCAATACTATGTCAGTAAATAGAGAAACTATCTTGCTATCCCCAGTACAGAGATGTGAGATTGTTGAGAGAATGTGCAACTGGATTGAGCCCCAAATTTTAACAACAACCCAAACAAAACAACAAAACATTAATTTGGACAAAATTCCATGCAGGCCTCCTCCCATATCTCAATTTACAGAGTTGTCTTTTAAAATGCTATTTATATAAACCAGCACTTTCATGTGAAAGGAGATGCTCAGTGCCCTTCAATAAAAAGAATTTAACAGTAAGAAAGAGAAGGATTATTTTGTGCATTGAAGGGGTCAAATACCCAGGCGGGATGGCCGCAACTCCACATGGACAGTCCCTTGCAGCGTCACTCCACAGGATCTTCTGTTGGGTAGACCCTACCACAAATATGGACCGAGGATTGGAAGGTAACTGACAGATGAAAAGGAAAGGAAGAATTCTCCAGCACAGCTTCTGTGAGGCAGAAGAGGAGAAATCCTACTCTGACCTCGGAGGTTAGTGACAGTTTAACTTAATAGACTGTTGATGCACAGAGAAGATATCTGTGGTTATTTTAAGCCATGAAGTAGGTTAAAGAATTCATTACACTTCTCATTCATAATTTGTACATAGTAAATTCACTAGTTCATTGCTATAATTAGAACCCAAAAGAAGGTATCCTGTCACTTGTATAACATGCTGAATTGTTTTTGTTCCTAAACTTCATCCTTTGTTAGATTGATAATCGATTGTCACATAGGTTTATAAGATTTTAGATGGGATTTTGACAGTCTTTTCTTGCCTTATGTTTGCACTATAACCTTATAATGATTTCCTTGCTATAACAATCTCTTGTTGTGTTGGCTGATCCTTTGGATAGCATTACCTCATAAAGAAATCATTTTGATATTTCAGGAACAAAATCCCTTTGGATGGAGTCCAACAGTCACTACCACTTTAAAACAAGTTGGTCTTTGTAACAAGTTATATATTAAGATTCCTGCATATTTGAAGTTCTGAAGAACACTTTATCTCCATTACTCAAATATCAGAATCCTAAACTAAGACATTTTTGCCTTTTTTTCTATGTCCTGTCTCTTAACATTAAAAGACACAATATTTTGACAATTGAGACACATTCTGTATTTTCACATTAACAAAACACACTTGCACATTTTATCACCACACAAAATAAACCTAGATAAATGTCTCTTTCTTTCTGTCCTGTATACATCATCTGGCCATGAGGCATTATTTCTGCCTCCTCATTCTTGTTTTTTAGAGCAAGTTGTGTTTTAACTAAACTTTTCTCTTTTCCTGGAGTTAGCCGTGATGAATTAGATGTCTCCTTGCCTTGCACAATTAGAGAGTATCCCTCTTTGTATATTGTTCCTACTTCCTGAACCCAGAGCTTTCACAACTGGGAAAATCCTTTTTTATTCTGACACAGGGTACACTGTGAGCAAACAGACAGTAAAGGGCCTCCCAAAAATATGCTCTTTTTAGAACATGTTTATTGTTAGCATGGTACAAATCTACCTATTTCTTATCTAGGCAAAACTCTGGTGAGGATTTTGTTTTGTTTTGTTTAGGTTTTGTTTTGTTTTATTCTTTTTCTGTCTCACAAAAACCAAGTGTTCTCCAGCAATGAGGCAAAGGAAAAAATCAATACTTGCCATGTACCATGTAACCAATAGAATAAGGGGAATGATTTATGTATGGATGGATGCAGCCTGAATCAGCTGGGGCCTCGCACAGAGAGCAAGAAAGACAGAGAGGGAGAGACAGAAAGGGAGAGAGAGAGAGAGAGGATGCGGGAGGTGGGGGTCGCGCTGAACTGCCGTGATGATTTCTACAATGTGGCCAGACTTTTTTTTTCCCTGCAGCAATAATCCCCTTCTCCTCACTGCAGGACATAGGGAAAGCCTGCAATTCTTGGAATATATGATGGCTCAGCTCTCCCTCCTTTCCTCAGTCATGATGCCATGTTCACAGTAAGGTACACTGGAAAAGGGAGAATGATGTATGTCGTGCAGTCCTTCAACCTTCCAGTAATCTCCACCCTAAAAAAGGCTAGTGATGGGTGGACAGGCACTAGTTGACAGAGAGTCAAATTATCAACAGGATTTAAAAATCTAAACGTTTCAGCACCACTTCATAAGAAGACCAGCGGGAAGGGCTTACAGACGGGAACTACTCTTTACCTCAGGAGTTTCTGCTGGAAATATAGTTTGGTTAACTGGAAATCCAGGGCGCTGCAGCACTTAAAGGTATTTAATCCTCAAGGTAACTTTTAGGATAACTGATACTCTTGCTCAAAGCTTAGATATTAACCAGTTACGCGTCTGTGGTATGGAGGTGCAAGTAGACGGCACCCAAGCCAGCTACCTCATAGCTGGATACATGGTACTATTGTATATTGAGTTCTGGTGGTTGTGACTTTAAACTGGGTTAATCATTTGCTTTAGAAAGATACAATATATATTTTTAAATACCATTATTTTATAAAATTCCTACTCTGGCTTCAAACTCAGGATGAACTGTGTAAGTAACACTTTGTGAAAGGCAAATCTGACCATTTCTTTGGAGTATCTTTGGTTTTTGAGATGTATTTATGTAGATCTAAATTAATTTTTGTAAGTTACCTTTCTGCAGTGTGTTTGAAACTATAGGAAGTTTGACAGCATTATTTTTCCATTATTCTGTTAAAGAAGACTGAATAATGTCCTTTTATGAGGAACACTGATGCCATGTGATTTTTTATGTTTTTGTATCCTTTAACTCAGATACAGTGTTAATGTCACAGGTATTGTCCTAAAATATCCTATTTTCTATATATGATTCATTACACTGCAGGTAATACATGGAAAGATGTTTTAAATACAAGATGTGGCAGAATAATGCCATGCCATTAATGAATGCTTAATGTGGAGCTGGTAGTGTTAATACACACAAGCTATTAAATTGCCTTTTCCCTTTTCAGTTGAAACTATCCATTTAACTCAACATTATTGTAAACTCAACAAAATGCCATGTTATTTTTTAAATGTGTATGTTTACCTTATACAAAGTTTATTCAACTCTGTTGACAAAATGTCATGCTGTTTCTTAAATATGTATGGTACATTTATAAAAAATATATTAAATTCTTTTAAATTCCTTGCTGTTTTTAAAATACATGTATTCAAAATGTACTGGATGGTAATTTTTTTAGCATTTTTCCACATTTTTTATTATTTAAGTTATCTTTTAAGCAATATATTTATCTTTTTATTTCTGGCATATGTATTTAGTTCCTCATTTACATTGCATAGACTATATATTTAGTAGTTAAATGTGTATACGTAGGAGTAAATAACTAGAAAAACAAAGAACTATTCTAATTAGTCCACATTTTAAATGACCCTTCATACTTTAATATCATTTTTTATGGGTGTTACTAAAGAGTAGTTAAGTTGAAGAACTGTTAGTTATAAATCTATAAATACCCTCATGCTTTCATTTAAATATCATTTAAATATCATTGAGAGATTTGATCTACCCTGTTCCTTGCAAAATTATTTTGGGAAAATTTCTATGTAAACTAAATAAATACATATTATGTCTTTACTCTAAACAAAATTAGAACAATAAAAATTCCACAAGCAAAAACTATGTGTAGTGAAATAGTAATTGTAATACAGAACTGATTACCCAAACCAGCAGAAACCATGCATAATCATTTTGAATGGGGGAAACCAAGTAGATATCTGCTGCGTCCACATAAAAACAGATGAACTTCGTGTTTACATTTTGACCTTGATCATCATTTTCCCTCTCTCTTCTATTGGCCCAAACAGGTTAAACAATGGAAGCCCCTTACCTTTTCTCTTCACTTTTTGTTTCACTGCCTCAGCCAAGCTGTCCAGCTGAGGGTTAACAAACAGAAAACCTGGAGATGGTCCAAACATAGAACTGTGAAGGCCAAGCTCAACACTGCCAGTGTCTCAGCAGGAAGGAACATACTCAGAACCCTACAAGCAGGTATGGGCTCATCGAAAACTAAAGCACATGGAAGTGAAGAAGCATGTCCACAGGAAGGTACTGCACAACTATAAGGTGAGCACAAACAGGACCTTGCTGCAGGTTTGTTTTCAGAGCTGTGCTGCTGCCACTTAAGAAAAACTGTTACCCGTATCAAAGAAAAAGATGAAAAGTCTGCCAAAGGCTACAGCATGTTTAGTCTAGCTGCATCTATTACATTATTTGAGGTGGGCCTAATAACCTGGCATGCTAGCAAATAGAGAATTCTGGCCCTAACAATATGAGAAACCCACAAAATGAGTGATAAACTAGCTGCAGGCAGAAGATGGCTAAGCAGGAAGCCCAAGAATTGGATTTCACTGTTAGTTAACAGAGCACCTATAGCATCCTTTTGTTTAAAAAGTTTCTGTCTGTTAAACAACTTTCCAAGTTCTAATGCAAGCTAAACAATCCTTCTCCCCAGTATGAGATTATTTTCCTATAAACATCTGGAGTTGAAATGCATAAATCAGACTCATGTTGGCAGCTTATGCTGTGACAAAAAAGCAAAGCAAATCTTCTCATTGTGAAGAGGGTAGTCAGTGAACACCTGCTATAGTTTATTCTCCTTCATCGGAGGTTACAAGGTAACTGATGAAATACCCATTAAAGAGAAAATCAATATCTGAGTTTAACTGCTGGCTTTATTTTATGTGAAATTATATTAAAAACTGATTAACACAAACAAATCACTATTTAGTAAATACAACAGATGAATATTTCATATTGCTATTCTAGCCTCCATCCAGAAAAAGAGAATGAAAAAAAAAGATAAGGTGATATCCAGTTCTCATATACTAAACAATTTATTAATTCACTTAATAAAAAAAATGAAAGAATAAACACATCCATGTTTTTACTTTCTAAAGTCTAATTTCATCCTTGCATTAAAATAGAAATGAATGAAAAATAAAATAAATACAAACAAAACATTCCAATATTAAAAATAAATGTTATTACTTCTAAATAAGTCTGCTTATACCTAAGAGATAACTTATATGCTCTATATAAAAAGAAACTGTTACTTTATTTCTTTTCCTTTTAATTAGTCTATAGCAGTCAGAGCATCTTGGATTAATCTAGTTTAATCTGAACATAATAGGATGGCAAATTTTCTGTTCTCTAATCTAAATGAGCTCACCTTAAAAACACACAGAATTTGTATGCTATTTAACAGAAAGGTTAAGTAAGGACAGCAAAATGTGACATTGCATTTCTGTTCACTGATATACCGTCAAATATGATTACCTGTACTTTTCAGACCTCGTCAAGGCACAGAAACTCTGGCAACAGCTACTGAAACATTAAAGGACAGATGCCCAAATCCCTACCCCAGCCAATTTGCCTGGTAGCATGAGGTTCTTAGGCTCTTGTCCTGGCTGTTTGCATTTGCACGTTTATAGATTATGTGGAGATACAGACCCTTTCATCCTGCAAAAAGCTGTCTAGCTCTAGCCACAACTTAGATGGTTTTCTTTTATGGGCTGCTTCATGTATTCAAGCAGAATTTTTCTCTTGTAAGATCTAAATGAGAGTGTACCTTCCCCACTCCCAGAGGAATAATCCCAAAGATGGGAGATTCTTAATAAAACAATTAATTGTGATAAATTTCTGATTTTTGCTCCTTCATCCAGGGCTATTTCCATGGCAACATTCTCTCATCCTATTGTTGGGTGGTTCTTCATTCACACAGCAGGTTAAGCCCCGGGCAGCCAGGGCAGGCTGATGGTCAGCCTTTATTTTCTCTGGCCCTTCAACAAAGGTTAGTTGAGGTCACTAGAAGCCAAAGGGTAATTACTTTTCTTCCACAGGGTTAAAGGTACACAGATTGCTATTGGGGCAACTGTATGGATGACCTTCAGCTTTAATGTTCAATCTTCTTTTCTTTCATCAGAGCAAATAAATATGATGTAACAATGGTGATGCAACAACATGCCTGAAATTTAGAATAGAAAGCCCAATTATTTTTTTGTAAAGCTAATATCTATTAGCATAATATACTTGGATCAATTTGGAAAACTCAAGGCATAAAAGGTTTCCTATCCCTTAAATAGGGAAAAAAAAAAAAAACCTCATGGCAGAAAATTGCCGCTGTTCACTGCTTTTCTTATTCTGTTAATCTGATATTCATAATTTCTCAGGCTTCAGTCACTTTCTTGAGGGTGTGTGTTCTTTAATGCTGAGAAGAAAATGGAAACTTTTCTGGCTCCATGAAGCATCTGGGGCTCTGTTTTTCCCCATGAAAACACCAGTTGTGGCCTTGTCCCCCTGAACTGACTAAGAGTAAGTCAGATTAAAATGAGTTTCATCTCAGCTTCTCCTGTCTCAAAGAAAGACATCTGTAAAATAGTTTGTGGGGAGGGTATCTTTGGAAACTGAATATTTAAAACACTTTGCCCACTCATTTAATGAATCACTTTGAGATTTCAGTTCCTTCTTTCAATCAGGAATTTTAAAGAAATGATTGTTACGGGCTTCAAAATGGAACCACCTACCAGCCGAATGGATGTATTTGCCATTGTTCTACACCAGGTAGAGATTTTCAGCTTCCTAGACATGATGGCTTCGTTGATGGTTCATCTCCACAGAGATACACAGAAGGGAGCCCAAGCCCCTACACAGGGACAGAGGCTAAGATCATCTGAGAGAGCCACTTGGTCCATTCTGCAGCTGTAGCCAGAGGGAAACATCCCCCTGAGTCTAGTCATCTTTGTCCAAGAAGTTGCCTAGATGAGAGGAGCATCAAGGGAAATGAAAACAAATACCCATTCCTATCTGAAGAATGGTAAAACATTGTTTCTACCCATTTTTTCAGATTCCCCTATGTACAATCTGAGAGCAACCAGACACTTTACTTCTCTCCAGTCCTCTGTCTCCCCCATCAGCATTGACCTAGGTGTCTTTCCAGCAATTCCCCCACACTATTCATATTCAGTCAAACTTCTGCTCATGAGCTTACCAGGAACTCTCCAGATCCAAACTCCCAAGGCTACCACTCCAGGGTGCTTCAGTCATCTAGTCTCTCTATTTAGCTTGAACGTCATGTCCCAGTTTCCCATCATTAGCCACTCTGCCTTAGTCAAGGAGACTGTAGCTTCCTGTGCATAATTTTGCCCTCCCTGGGCTATGCCATTCTCTCTAAATGCCAATCCTCTTACAATTCCTGACTCTTTGAAAGGTTGGTTTAAAATTTAGTTCTATCAGGAATTCATCCATATTTTATTGTCTGCTACATCTAAATAAAAAAATGCATTCAATAAAAAATATATATTGTATATCTACTGCATATATCATATACATAATTGTACAGAGAAGCTGTAGAAAATTCCTAAGCAACTTTTAGAAAACCTAAAGCCTTAAATTACCTCCATTTACAATTTCTAGGGCTCTCTTACAACACTACTGTTTTTCATAAGAATCTATTATACAGTTGCCCCCAGTATTATAATGACAGGTTCTATTTTTTGCACTTGTTCATTTTTATTGCCCTTTCCACATTTCTACAAAGTCCTAATGACTACATTGTTGAGAGCAAAACATTTTGGCATCATCATATCACGATCCCCCAAAATAGTCTCCTTCTTGCTCTCAGTGAGCATCAACTAATTTCTGCTGTTATTAATTTATAACTAATGAGATAACAGAAAATAAAGTATAGCCACACTCAGGGATATTTTATTTTAGAAGGGATTGCTGAAGTCTTCAAGACCATAAAGCACAGTTCTGGATGTGGGACTGTCGGTGGTGGAGACAATATTTGGAAAAAGAGATAAGAAACCTGAAGAGGCATGTGTTAGGATCTTGCACATGACCTGGCAGCATATAACCATGTGAGGAAGGGAGGGGAAGATCTAGCACTGCCCACAGCTGGTTGACAGCAGTGCCCCGCACTAGTCAAGAAATAGATTTTTCCTCAATTATGGACCAAAGCCAGAGGGAACAATTTGTTCTCTGGTTAGGGCTTCCTGGCCAGGGGCATTCAAAGAAGGCAAAGCTGTCAACTCCTAAAGCTGATGCTAGGCTGGTTAGCTAGTTAACTAAAGAAGTGTTTGGGAGACTGATGAGTTCTCACAAGGTAAACCTTAGGGAAGATTTTCTTCTCCTTTCTGCATAACTTCTCCCCTTTTTAATTTCCTCTCCATCATCCCCAGATGTCCCAGCTCCCATAGGCCCATATCATATAGGGTTTTAATGTTAATAAGCCATATTTTCCCCAAGTTTTTTTTAAAAAGATGCCTGCATGAAATATTTAGCAATAGCAATGCATCTCTTATGATGGCATTTCAGGCATTTTGGATTTCAGTAAGGGAGATACTTAGAAGTATCACTTTACTAGATCCTGCCCGATTACCCTTTGAGTGCTCCTGGGCCAATGACAAATGGAAAGTAAAGTACTGGAATGTATTACGTCAAAGCTTCCTACACACAACAGGTCACAGCCTTTCAATTCATCCCAAAGCAGACACAAACATTTTTCCTCTGTAGGCAAGAAATTCAAGCACTTGCCCCTAGTTGCTGCTTACTGTTCCTTAAAGCTCTTTTATTTTCTCTTGAAATCCAGAACCACTGGGTTCCATGTCCTATAGCACACCTCCAGTTTTTCATTTCATAGAGAATGTATTACTAAGAGGTTCAACATAGAGGAATTTCCACAATCACAACCGATTCTTCTTCATGTGCCAGAGAGAGATGTGAGTTGTGATCTCTTCTAACTGATGTCTTCACATACAGGATGCTAGTCTCTCTCTTACAGAACCTGCAGTAGAAACCCCTCAACCAGTTGTTGAGTAGTTACAGAGAGCGATGGTCATGCCATGGTCCAGAGCAACAGGCCTTGGTGCCAATGAGTGATGAGTGCTCAGGGTTCCAGGACTGATTGTCTGGCACCCCAGGTGGATGTGGCGTCCTAAAACTTGAAGCACTTCCAAGACTGACAGAAAATGGTACATGGGAAGAAAACTGTAGCATGGAGCTGCTCAAATTTTAGCATGCGTAAGAAACACGGATTTCCTGCTCTCGCTCTTTGAGATGCAAATTCAGTAGGCCCCCAAATCTGCATTTCTAACCAACTGTCAGATGATGAGGATTCTTCCCAGCTGTAGACTTCACTTGGGGTAGTACTGTGGTAGATTTCCCTTCTCTGGACTTCCCTTATCGTACCTCTGAAATGTACTGCCACATTTCCATTGGTTAAAGGTTTTTCCACCTGTTCAGAAGTGCCTGTGACATCTAGATGCCACTCTTTCACTTTCCTTCCTCTCTGTTCTGCTTTTCACTTCATTTTGATGTAGCCCTTTAGTTTGTATGGATCATACATGCCCTTAAGAATAATACTTTTCCTATTTTAATCAACTACAAGGCAACTCCAGTTTCCTGCTATTAAGTCAGAAAAATATTCTTGCCCTTCATCAATCCTCTGTATCCAGAGAATCCCCTTCCACAAATTCCAAATTCTTAACTCTCTACCAACCGTTAAGTGATCCTTTTTCTTCTCTGATCTTGGATGAGCTGAGATTACCAAGACATACAAGGCAACATACTCCTTTTTCCAGGGAGATCATACTGTTAGGTGGCAACTAAATAGAGTGGTGAGGTACATGGGTCTTTGTGACAGACAAACAAGCTGGATTCAGGTTCCAATTATGCCTTTTATTAGTTGTGACCCCCAACAAATAATTTAGCCTCTCTTAGCTTCGATTTTACTTTTCTACAAAGTGGGAATAATAATATATACCTCATAGGATTATGATAATATTTGAATAATATAATGCATATAAAGAATTTAGGCTTTGTGACTGGAACACAATAAGACCTGGATAAATGATAGCTATTATTTGTATAAAGCCTACATTATAAACAGATGGCATAGGCTTTAAGATTCCAGTCCAGCAGCTTCCCTGTTAGGTAATTTTGGACAAACTAATATATCTCTGAGCTTCAGTTTCTAAGATTTTAAATGGGGACAATTCATCCACCCTCCAGGATTGTTATGAAGTTAAAAGATGTATAAACTTGCTAGTGCTGTTTCAGAAAATACTGAACCATGACTACTTCAAATAGTATTATTTTAACATATTGTCTTTTATCCAGCTGGGGTCCGAATATATGTCCTGCCTTTGACCTTGAACTCCAGGCTTTAATCAGCTCCCTGAAGACTTCCACAGCTTTCAGCATCCAAATAAAGTAATACCACTACTTAAATTCTCTGTTCATTGAAGCCTAAACAAGTAATTTCCACAGGTGGTTCCCAGATTTTGGAATTTCACACACTAGCAAATTTATATATATATTCTATCTGGGCTCAAAATAGGATATCAATTTTTTTTCCCAGTATAGAAGTTTTGTTTGTTATTTTGTTTTCAGTTTCCATCTATCAATGCTGATATTTCATGAAAGAAAATATACTTTAATATTAACAAGTACAAACACAAATCAAGAGGAAAAATTTCAGTGCATGCATGGGCACACACACACACACACACACCTAGTGTTGTGTTCTCATTTTACCACCAAATGGAAAATGTTACCATGGAATGCCAAGTAGTCCACAAATGTAAGTGGGAACCCCTGACCTACCTTGATGTTATCCTTATCTGAATTTCAGCATGCTTTCATATTTTTCTTTGGCATAGGTGAGCAGGACAGGGATATGCCCTTTTCAGGTCCTGGAACTTATGGCCACCTGACCTTCCTGAACCTGAGGAATGGGAGGGACAAAGTCCTTTTTATTTGCAGTTGTGTGGTGTTCCTATGTCTGCTCCGAAGGTGACTTCCTTGTCCAACCAGGTTCTTAGGTGCAGGCTGCTAAATGGTATGTCCCTACAGTTCTATGTTTTCCCAAATCTCCCATGCCTACCAGCTGTCTCATCGCAGCTGGTTGTGTGTTTTGCAGATAGATGCCCATTTATCTGCAGGATGTTGTGCATATTTTGTTCCCATTTCATGCACACGTAAACTGAGGTTCCAAGAGGTCCAGAGACCTCTCAAATGTCACAAGTTGATACTATTTTGTACCATATATGATTCAGTGAACATTTACTGAGTCCCAATCAGATGCTGTGCTAGGTGCCTAGAATAAAAACAGTAAGAAACATTGACTCTACTCTCAAGGCAACAGTTTACAATTTATTTCTTGCCATAGCCCAGGTTTTCTGATTTTTGCTCCTTCATCCAGGGCTATTTCCATGGCAACATTCTCTCATCCTATTGTTGGGTGGTTCTTCATTCACACAGCAGGTTAAGCCCCGGGCAGCCAGGGCAGGCTGATGGTCAGCCTTTATTTTCTCTGGCCCTTCAACAAAGGTTAGTTGAGGTCACTAGAAGCCAAAGGGTAATTACTTTTCTTCCACAGGGTTAAAGGTACACAGATTGCTATTGGGGCAACTGTATGGATGACCTTCAGCTTTAATGTTCAATCTTCTTTTCTTTCATCAGAGCAAATAAATATGATGTAACAATGGTGATGCAACAACATGCCTGAAATTTAGAATAGAAAGCCCAATTATTTTTTTGTAAAGCTAATATCTATTAGCATAATATACTTGGATCAATTTGGAAAACTCAAGGCATAAAAGGTTTCCTATCCCTTAAATAGGGAAAAAAAAAAAAAACCTCATGGCAGAAAATTGCCGCTGTTCACTGCTTTTCTTATTCTGTTAATCTGATATTCATAATTTCTCAGGCTTCAGTCACTTTCTTGAGGGTGTGTGTTCTTTAATGCTGAGAAGAAAATGGAAACTTTTCTGGCTCCATGAAGCATCTGGGGCTCTGTTTTTCCCCATGAAAACACCAGTTGTGGCCTTGTCCCCCTGAACTGACTAAGAGTAAGTCAGATTAAAATGAGTTTCATCTCAGCTTCTCCTGTCTCAAAGAAAGACATCTGTAAAATAGTTTGTGGGGAGGGTATCTTTGGAAACTGAATATTTAAAACACTTTGCCCACTCATTTAATGAATCACTTTGAGATTTCAGTTCCTTCTTTCAATCAGGAATTTTAAAGAAATGATTGTTACGGGCTTCAAAATGGAACCACCTACCAGCCGAATGGATGTATTTGCCATTGTTCTACACCAGGTAGAGATTTTCAGCTTCCTAGACATGATGGCTTCGTTGATGGTTCATCTCCACAGAGATACACAGAAGGGAGCCCAAGCCCCTACACAGGGACAGAGGCTAAGATCATCTGAGAGAGCCACTTGGTCCATTCTGCAGCTGTAGCCAGAGGGAAACATCCCCCTGAGTCTAGTCATCTTTGTCCAAGAAGTTGCCTAGATGAGAGGAGCATCAAGGGAAATGAAAACAAATACCCATTCCTATCTGAAGAATGGTAAAACATTGTTTCTACCCATTTTTTCAGATTCCCCTATGTACAATCTGAGAGCAACCAGACACTTTACTTCTCTCCAGTCCTCTGTCTCCCCCATCAGCATTGACCTAGGTGTCTTTCCAGCAATTCCCCCACACTATTCATATTCAGTCAAACTTCTGCTCATGAGCTTACCAGGAACTCTCCAGATCCAAACTCCCAAGGCTACCACTCCAGGGTGCTTCAGTCATCTAGTCTCTCTATTTAGCTTGAACGTCATGTCCCAGTTTCCCATCATTAGCCACTCTGCCTTAGTCAAGGAGACTGTAGCTTCCTGTGCATAATTTTGCCCTCCCTGGGCTATGCCATTCTCTCTAAATGCCAATCCTCTTACAATTCCTGACTCTTTGAAAGGTTGGTTTAAAATTTAGTTCTATCAGGAATTCATCCATATTTTATTGTCTGCTACATCTAAATAAAAAAATGCATTCAATAAAAAATATATATTGTATATCTACTGCATATATCATATACATAATTGTACAGAGAAGCTGTAGAAAATTCCTAAGCAACTTTTAGAAAACCTAAAGCCTTAAATTACCTCCATTTACAATTTCTAGGGCTCTCTTACAACACTACTGTTTTTCATAAGAATCTATTATACAGTTGCCCCCAGTATTATAATGACAGGTTCTATTTTTTGCACTTGTTCATTTTTATTGCCCTTTCCACATTTCTACAAAGTCCTAATGACTACATTGTTGAGAGCAAAACATTTTGGCATCATCATATCACGATCCCCCAAAATAGTCTCCTTCTTGCTCTCAGTGAGCATCAACTAATTTCTGCTGTTATTAATTTATAACTAATGAGATAACAGAAAATAAAGTATAGCCACACTCAGGGATATTTTATTTTAGAAGGGATTGCTGAAGTCTTCAAGACCATAAAGCACAGTTCTGGATGTGGGACTGTCGGTGGTGGAGACAATATTTGGAAAAAGAGATAAGAAACCTGAAGAGGCATGTGTTAGGATCTTGCACATGACCTGGCAGCATATAACCATGTGAGGAAGGGAGGGGAAGATCTAGCACTGCCCACAGCTGGTTGACAGCAGTGCCCCGCACTAGTCAAGAAATAGATTTTTCCTCAATTATGGACCAAAGCCAGAGGGAACAATTTGTTCTCTGGTTAGGGCTTCCTGGCCAGGGGCATTCAAAGAAGGCAAAGCTGTCAACTCCTAAAGCTGATGCTAGGCTGGTTAGCTAGTTAACTAAAGAAGTGTTTGGGAGACTGATGAGTTCTCACAAGGTAAACCTTAGGGAAGATTTTCTTCTCCTTTCTGCATAACTTCTCCCCTTTTTAATTTCCTCTCCATCATCCCCAGATGTCCCAGCTCCCATAGGCCCATATCATATAGGGTTTTAATGTTAATAAGCCATATTTTCCCCAAGTTTTTTTTAAAAAGATGCCTGCATGAAATATTTAGCAATAGCAATGCATCTCTTATGATGGCATTTCAGGCATTTTGGATTTCAGTAAGGGAGATACTTAGAAGTATCACTTTACTAGATCCTGCCCGATTACCCTTTGAGTGCTCCTGGGCCAATGACAAATGGAAAGTAAAGTACTGGAATGTATTACGTCAAAGCTTCCTACACACAACAGGTCACAGCCTTTCAATTCATCCCAAAGCAGACACAAACATTTTTCCTCTGTAGGCAAGAAATTCAAGCACTTGCCCCTAGTTGCTGCTTACTGTTCCTTAAAGCTCTTTTATTTTCTCTTGAAATCCAGAACCACTGGGTTCCATGTCCTATAGCACACCTCCAGTTTTTCATTTCATAGAGAATGTATTACTAAGAGGTTCAACATAGAGGAATTTCCACAATCACAACCGATTCTTCTTCATGTGCCAGAGAGAGATGTGAGTTGTGATCTCTTCTAACTGATGTCTTCACATACAGGATGCTAGTCTCTCTCTTACAGAACCTGCAGTAGAAACCCCTCAACCAGTTGTTGAGTAGTTACAGAGAGCGATGGTCATGCCATGGTCCAGAGCAACAGGCCTTGGTGCCAATGAGTGATGAGTGCTCAGGGTTCCAGGACTGATTGTCTGGCACCCCAGGTGGATGTGGCGTCCTAAAACTTGAAGCACTTCCAAGACTGACAGAAAATGGTACATGGGAAGAAAACTGTAGCATGGAGCTGCTCAAATTTTAGCATGCGTAAGAAACACGGATTTCCTGCTCTCGCTCTTTGAGATGCAAATTCAGTAGGCCCCCAAATCTGCATTTCTAACCAACTGTCAGATGATGAGGATTCTTCCCAGCTGTAGACTTCACTTGGGGTAGTACTGTGGTAGATTTCCCTTCTCTGGACTTCCCTTATCGTACCTCTGAAATGTACTGCCACATTTCCATTGGTTAAAGGTTTTTCCACCTGTTCAGAAGTGCCTGTGACATCTAGATGCCACTCTTTCACTTTCCTTCCTCTCTGTTCTGCTTTTCACTTCATTTTGATGTAGCCCTTTAGTTTGTATGGATCATACATGCCCTTAAGAATAATACTTTTCCTATTTTAATCAACTACAAGGCAACTCCAGTTTCCTGCTATTAAGTCAGAAAAATATTCTTGCCCTTCATCAATCCTCTGTATCCAGAGAATCCCCTTCCACAAATTCCAAATTCTTAACTCTCTACCAACCGTTAAGTGATCCTTTTTCTTCTCTGATCTTGGATGAGCTGAGATTACCAAGACATACAAGGCAACATACTCCTTTTTCCAGGGAGATCATACTGTTAGGTGGCAACTAAATAGAGTGGTGAGGTACATGGGTCTTTGTGACAGACAAACAAGCTGGATTCAGGTTCCAATTATGCCTT